ACATTTATGGTACTTTTTTCATTATAAAGTAAAAAAAAAATAACCCCCCCCCCCCCTTCCCCCCGTGGTGATAATATACCTCCAAAAGAAAGCTCTATCTGTCCCCAAAATGTTTTTACATAAATTGCAAGGCTATAGAGTCCGGTCATGCTGACTGGCAACATTTTTGACTGACTGGTGAGACACCATCAAATTTTTCAAGCCCTGGCGATCAGCTTAATAAAGTAAGCTTATTAATACTTGTAAATGGTGGAAAAAGCTTTTTCTATGTATGACATAATAAAAAATGTATACAGTAGCCTTATTTTTGCAGTAAATGTGCAGGTTCTGCTTCCTGCCTGGTCATGGTACAGTGGATTGCACTTTCTACATCGCTTAAGGTGCCCATTTGGATTTCCCGCCATTATCGTACGATAATCGTACAGTGTATGGGCACCTTTACTCAGTGAACAGTGTGTGTAAGGTGCCTGAGCTTGTTATAGTCAGTGGTCATTAAACATGGATGCTAATCCTATTCCCTCATATAGGCTATAGGGGAGAATATACATATTTATGGGGAAAAAAATCATCAATCATAGATGGTGGAAATAGCATTTCTATATATTGTAGAGTTTCTTTGGATTTAAAAAAACAAAACACTTTTAATATGGAAACAATTATTAAAACTATGACAAAGCGGGCAGGTACAACGTGGAAATCGAAAACTATCATCAGGTAAATGCCATAGTAACAGCACTGGATGCACACTTACTGAGAATACATTCTAGTGTCCCTTTATTGCTATGAGTATGTATGTTGTCAAACCACAATATGCACTCTAATGTTGCTTGGCATGCCAAAAACCATTGCTTCCAAGTAATGAAACTTTTCAGGTTTACAAAGGGGAACAGTACTGAAGTCTTGTACCGTAGCCGTAATACCCAATCAGATTCTCTTTTTTTGAGTTTATGTGGTACATTAGAAATTAAAGGGAGTTTTGGCTTCATTACTACGGGCAACACATTCAGATTACTCATTTATACAGGAAGCCTGCTATAAATGGTAATTCTTCCTTTTGCATGTTAAAAGTCTGTGAGCCACAAATCCCATCATCCAAGCTCAGTGCTGAGTGATATAGTCTTATTACAAGAACTCTGGGCAAAAATGATCTTAACCCTTGCAGTGGGGCTACCCCACATTGTAAAGGTTAAGTGCTCGTTTTCATCTAGGGATGACCCCACAGCTGGCTGGCTCCTAGACCGATCCCTTCAGCCTGTCCCTTCCTCTGCTCCAGCGATGCAATTTCCTTCGGCATCCTACACACTGTATGATGCCGTACAGGACCTTAGTCCGCTGCAGCGGAGGGGGAGAGAGGCTTCTGGGACCAGTCCAACAGCAAGCCGGCTGCGAGGTTCAGTCGAGTATTTTCGCTCCTGGCCGAATACAAGCACTTAACCCTTGCAGTTCGGGGGTAGCCTCCTCCCAGGGTTAGGATCATTTTTGCCGTAAAATAAATGCAAAGAAACTGTGTAATAGCTTTCTCATTCACCACTTCATTAAACATGCGTGTTCTGCTTTTGTTTTTGTCCCATTGCAGCATACTGTTTAATATCTCCTGTATTTATTTTTCTCACTATTGCATATGTTTCCCCTTTTGAATTGACAATATTTTCTTTCTGTTCTGTCTCCAGTGGCCCAGAAGATCGTGGCAACTCGTAAAAAGCAACAGCTTTCCATCGGTCCCTGCAAGTCTCTGCCAAATTCCCCCAGCCACACGTCTGTTTGCTCAGCGCAGGTGTCAGCTGTGCATATCAGTCAGGTATGCTCCTTATAAAACAGCTTTTTCAGCTAGATAACAGATGTATTTCCAGCTACTACTGTACTAAAGGTAGATCATAATAAGCTTGGGGTGTCCATAGACCTTAGCAGGCAATTTATATTTGCACATACGACTGGACTGCCCCCAACACCATCGTTTCCAAGTACGTAATTAAACATTAATGCTTGGAGGAGATTGTATGGAAAAGACGTGGATGTACCAGGCACTATTGGAGCAGCTTATTTCAGGGAAACTTGAGCAATCAGAACATTTTTCTCTCACCTGTCCTGCATTTTATTGGTAGGCATTACCTGACCAATAGAAAAAAGATGGTAACCTGATCCAGCTGAAAACAGCCAGGTAGTTTGACTGCAGGTCTCGTATCTATGGACAGGTAAAAGTCTTATGTCCAGCCAAAACTTTTTTTTTTTTAAATGTTGCATAGGGTAGGGAAGGATTAGAACCTCATTCAGGTTTTTACTGAGATTTCCCATCTCTTAGGATCATGTAAGATGAACAATTCTGCCACTGGTGACAATTTGCCAGTGATAGGGTCGCTAACAGGTCACTTATCTTTTCCCCTCTAGTCAGACCAGCGAGATGTTGTTCTTTTAATACGATTCCATAAGTTCTTCCCTTAACTATAATAAAAACGCAATCACTGCTTCTTCTCTCAAACCATACACGCTATTGCACATTACAGACGTGGACCAATTTGTTGGTATCCTAGACGGAAAAAAAAGAACCCACAATTTTCTCTGAAAAAGACTTGAAACTGACAGAAGTAATTGGCATGCATCATCGCTCGTTCCATATTTATTAAAAGTCAGGCGGCCTTTGATTTTTGATTCAACAGAATATTTTAAATGATACAACAAATAAAATTGCCATGGACAAAAATAATGAGACCCTTAAACTAACATTGGGTTGCACAACCTTTAGAGGCAATCACTCCTAGGAAGTGGGAAGTCTCAATGAGACCTCTTCACCTGCCAATAAGTAGTTTAGCCTTCTCCTGAGCCAATTGATCCAGCTGTCTCAGGTTTGAAGGGTGCCTTCTCCAGAGTGCATATTTCTGCTCTTTCCATAGGTGTTTCGTGAGATTCAGATCATAGAAGACCCCTTCAGAATAGTATTGTGTTTTGTTCTTAACCATTCTTAGGTGGTTTTAGCAGCGTGTTTCGAGTCATTATCCTGTTGGTGGATCCATGCCTGCACCTGAGACAGAGCTTTCTGACACTGGGCAGTATGTTTCACTCCAGAGTTCCTTGATAGTCTAGAGTCATTGTGCCCTGCTCAGATTCAGGGCAACCCCTATGATGCAGCATAGCTGCCATTAAACATAACCAAGCAACCTCCATATATCACAATAGGTACTATGTTCTTTTTTTTGGAAATGCAATTTTTCAGTCTGTGAATATAGAGCTGACGTGACTTTCCAAAAACTCCAGTGTTGTTTCATCTGTCCAATGGACATTCTCCTAGAAGCATTGTGGCTTGTCAATATGCATTTTAGCAGATTTCAGTCTAGCTTTTTTTATGTTTTTTTCTTCAGCAGTGGAGTCCTCCTGGGTCTTCTTCCTCTAAACCCACGGTCACTCAAAAAGCAACGGGTGGTGAGATCAGAAACTGATGCACCTTAACCTTGAAGTTCAGCTTGTATCTCTTTGGAAGTTTTCCTTGGCACTTTGTCTACCATTCGCTCTATGCTTCTGTTCAATCTGGGTCAGTTTTCCTCTTGAGGCCATGTCCCTCCTTTTACATGACCTCAAGAGGAAAATTGACCCCAGATTGAACCGAAGCATTAAACGAATGGCAGACAAAGTGCCAAGGAAAACTTCCAAAGATGCAAGCTGAACTTCAAGCTACACTCCCGTGGACTTCTAAATAATATTTGTAAATGTATTCGCAGGAGCATCAGGTTGCTCGGAGATGGTCTTAGGTCTCGTTCACACCTAGGCGTATTGCATATGCACGTCTGTCGTGCGTTTTTTTACCGCCATTCGCGGTAAAAAAGTCGCGCGACTGTCGCGCGTTTCCGAAGGCTACTTGGCTGTATCCCAATGGAAACACGCAACAAAACGACCCAAAGTAGTACCTGTACCTTTTCAGGCGTGGGCCGTTTTGTAGCGCGTTAGGGAGGGGCGGAAATACGCCAAGGTGGGAACGAGACCATTGAATACAATGGGATTTATATTTTTGAGCGTTTTGTAGAGCGTTCGTCGAGCGTAGAACGCGCTACAAAACGTTCAGGTGTGAACGAGGGCTTATAGCCTTTACCTTCGACAGGCTGGTCTATAATTTTCTTTCTGATCTCCGCAGACAACTTTCTGTTGCTTTCTCTGGCCCATGTTCAGTGTGGTGCACACAATGAAACTAAACGACAAAATGACTAAGTTTCTCCATTTAAATAGCCTGACAGACTGATTTCAAGATTGAAGACATGTGTTACACTAATTACAGAATACTGATAGTTTGAAATATCACTATGGTCCAATTATTCATAATCTCTCCTAGGGGTACCAACAAATATGTCCAGGCCATTTTAGAATATCTTTGTCGAAGAAGCTATAATTTATTTATTTTTTGTACACTTTCTTTGCTTTACTCTATGACATACCGGTATAAATTAGACAATTGCTTTTAATTTCATCACTTTTCTGGAATCAAGTATTGTTTCAGTGAGCTGTAGGGGTAACAAATTTGTCCATGTCTGTACAGTATATACTCATCTGAGACCATTACAATCAAATTTTTCCAAAAACGTGGAACATGTAGTTCAAAGCAATATAAATTGAGCTTATCACTACTTAGCAGCATATTTGAAATATATTTTTCTTGAAGATTAATTTACATATCCAATCTCAACTGTAGAACTAAATCCAGCATTAAGGTAAATCAACTAGGTGATAATATGAGCAAGTCCCTTTTGGGGGTATATCCTGAGTAACAAGCAGAATCCATTATTCTTAATGCATTCCTTGATGAATCGCATATAGATCCCATATATTTGGTCACCGAACATAGAAACAAATACTGGGCACACAGAATGGCTGTCTTCATTACTTTCTATTACTGGGGGAGAGAGGGGTACATGTGCTCTGATAAGGCATCCAAGGTTTGTAGTTATGGTAGACCATGATGCATAGAAAGAGTCAGCTCTGTGTCTGCGGTCTGTATGGCAATATACATTTTTGTGAGGACAGAAGGTGTGAATTGGTAGATTTTTATACACCCCTGTACTTGCCTTGCTACCTTGTACACAATCCAGTTGAGACATATAGTTACATAGTATATGAGGTTGAATAAAGACACATGTCCATCAAGTCCAACCTATTGTGTGTATGATCCTACTGATGTGTGCGTATGTATAGGTCCCTGTGTGTTCTCATTCTTAAGAGTACTTGTACCCCTGTATATTACGGTCCCTGAGGAAATCGTCCAATCGCCTCTTGAACGATTCCACACTCTCCGCCGAAATCACAGCATGCGGCAGCGAGTTCCAGACCCTTTATGAAACGCCAGTCATTTTGCTTGCTTTGCATACATACATTTTTTGCTGTAGCTGATTATTAAGGTTTCTGTAATTTGTTTACAGTAACTCCCACTGAAAGGGAGTTCAGTGTGAGAGACTCATGAGCTCTTTTTCAAATATTTGAAATAACAGTATGTTTTATGATGCATGCACAACAGTATAATGTTTTTCTATGTTTTCTCTGCACAGACAAGTAATGGAGGAGGCAGTTTAAGTGACTATTCTTCATCCGTTCCATCTACACCCAGCACTAGCCAGAAAGAGCTGAGGATTGACGTGCCTCCTACTGCCAGTACCCCAACTCCAGTGCGCAAACAGTCCAAGCGAAGGTCCAACCTGTTCACGGTGAGTCCAGCTTAGTGCGTGCTTTACTTATACCCAGAGAGACCATTCCATCTAGCGCACTCTATTACAGCATCAAAACCGTATCATGGTGGATGCTAAGGTGACAAACTGACTGATGGTGCCCCCAGGATAAAAAAATGCAAAACATCACCAGCACACCAAATTAAGCAAAAAAAAAAAAAAGGTAATTTACTGCCACAAACAGATATGTGATGCTTGGGGCCACAAAGATCCCCTTCCTCAGACAGTAGCTACTTCTGACCTCTGATATTATTGTGAATAACACCGCAGAGTCTGCCATTTTGCCAACCTTTTGAGCTGATCTTTCCATCAGTTTGTAAAGAGCCGTTATCAATTTATCAAGTTATCAGTTCACAATTGTCTTTCAGTGCCAAATACTTTTCTACTGAAACTTGCAAGGTTAGGGCCCCAAGGCTGGGTGCATATGGGCAATTTTTGTTTGTGAGATAATTACCCATAATTGCCCTACAATTAATTGCTAGCAATCCCTACACGTAACGAAAAATGGCGTATAGCATGCACTGGAGAATTCTTATAGTGGGTGGCACTGCCAGCTCGACAAAAGTCAGTGGCTCAGTTGGCTTCTGTCGAAGGGGCCAGGTTAAAACATTTTGGGCTAAGCAGTGACTGCAAGCAATCGGCTGTAGTCACCATTCATATATTAAGACTGTGGTGGGTGCCGGCTGTCAGAATACTGTAGTTGCAGTGTAAGATTTGTTCAGCCATGCTTTTTAGCATAGATGTAGAGGAGTCTGTTAGATATTTTTCATTCAGCCCGCAGACTGAACAACAAAATATCAATTAGTGTATGATTGGTATTCTATTTCTTCAGATTATTCTGATTTCCACCAGGTGGCAGTAGAGATCAATGCATTTCTTTCCAGCTGGCTAAGGAAATTTGGAATTGCAGAGTCTAGCTTTGTCCTTTTCACACTAAACATTAGACTAGATGGGGCAGGCCTATCAAAACTTGGCTAAACCAATTTGAAACACCTTAAACTGATTACGTGTAGCCAGTTCTAATTTGGTGTCTCTCCACTTCCCCACCCTGAAGATGGGCTTACTTGCCATGGGATTGTTATACAGTACAAAGAAAAAAATTGACACTTCTATAATGAGTGATAGGGAAATATGTAATGAGTGATAGGGAAATAGATCATTGTGCTCTGAATATGGAGGTATGTGAAAGGAGGCTTGTCAAAGAGTCTGATTCATTGTTTCAGAACAAATGTCCCTCTGCATAGAACTATCTGGCTAATGTATAACCCTAAAAGTAAATGCACTATAGATGCTAGATCATCTCAAGACGTTGTAGTTAGGTGTTAGTGTTTATACTGAAGATGTTTGGGTTAAATTCTTTCCTGTGTGCAGGTAACGATTGCAGAGTCAAGGTTTTCTATAGAATGGGCTTGTGATTTCATCCCTTGAATTGGTAAAAACATTATTGGTTGTCCCCAAAGATTTTCCTAATATGAAAGGACAAAATCAAGCCTGCATCTTGGATAGAGGGTTTTTTTCACACAAACTGGCTCTGTTTTGGGCGGAGTGAACAGGGCTTGAACCCCAATCGGGTACCTTGGCAAGAAAGTTTCTCCTACCTGAAGCTCAACTGTGACCATGTGATGATGTAGCATTCTGTCCGTAGAGTGTCTACTAGAGGGTGGAGGATACCAATCCTGAATCCTCTGCTCTCTACTGGATTCTTCATGGTAAAATATGATGAACTCACTTAGCCCACCTATAGACTTCAGATGACGGTGCATGAATGATCCATCCACCCTAACGTAGAGGGATTAAATGGCAGGAAAGTGATCTGAAACCTTTTGCTTGGTAGAACCTTCTTATTATTGGAATAGGGAGGAGATGAGCAATCCAGGCAGATGCTTGTATTAGGGGAATTACAGCATTTGGAGCCGTTTTTATCATTTTCCTTCCTGATAAAAGCTAGCTGAGCAGGGTCAGTGGCCCCCCATAGACATAAAATCATTGTCAGATCGTCTGAATGTCATCTCACTTCTGTCAGTACCTTTAGGGCCTGTGTTGACGGGCTTTTGTTCCTGTCAGAAGGGTTTTGCAGGGTTTTGCTTTCTCATACAAGTCTATGGGAATGCAAAACCTGTTTAAAGCAGGTCAAAAGTAGGTCAACTGCCAGTCAAACTTACTATAAAAGATCTCAAATTAATGGCATCGATACAAGTCCAAAGCCTGTCGACAATGGCTCTTAGGTTGGTGACAACTATAGCTTGGATGCTAAGCAGAAGTTAGCCTGTCACATGTTAAACTGAAAATATACTATGCAATCTGATTGTACAACCTTTGTTAGATTCTCCATCAACATTGTAGTGCAAGGGCCCGTCTAAATGTATACAATTCGAATGGATTGTTAAGGTCTGTCATAGTTTTGCTAAATCTAAAGGTGATTGTAAAAAGATTGAATCATCGAATTATATAATGTATGGCCAACCTTTAAGGTTCAGACAGTAGTGAAGCCTTGGCAAGAGATGGATTTTTGCCCCTTCCCACCCAAAACAGAGAAATCAATTTTTAACAAATTTGCTCCAAAAACCCTTAATTGGACCCTACCTCCAATTTTGTTATAATGGAAAGTACACCAGGGAACTTCCTGCATTCTGTATGCAGCCCCATGCAGTAAAATCATTATTAAATGCATGTTTCGTCCCCATGGAACATGCTTTTTCTGCACTGGTGTATAATCTGCACCAGTTAGGACGTTTAAAAATGGAACCACATGACAACATATAGGTTGTAGCTGTACCATTGAAAAGCCATGCTTTTGGTCCAGTATAAGGTGCTTAAAAGTGCATTGAGAGCAACAAATCTGACATCCAATGGAGTATTTTAAAGTATTTGCAGAGCCAAACCTTTTAGTTAAGACTAGAATAGGGAATAGTTAAAAACCAGTCAGTTTGTGCTTTGCTGTCTGTGACCTGTTGGGGAGATTTCCCTTCAATTCCTATCCCAAGGACACAACAGGGGAAAAAGGATTTCTCTCTGAAGATAGGGAAATTCCCCTCTTAGACAGCTGTCACTGAAACAAGTATCCTCTATGGGAGCATTCCCCATACCTCTTATCCTGGGGACAACTGGAAGGTCTGGATTTGTCATCACTTTGTCTCACAGTGGTCACCAGGATAAAAGTAGATTGTGAATCTCCCCAATAGGGGGAACACAGACACCTACTGTATACATGATGTGGCTATAGATACACTTTGAGATAAGCTGGCCCACATTGGGCTTTTGATAAAGGGGTTATAGAATATTAGGAAACACTTCCATAAGATAAACTTTGATTTACAGCATTCAGTAATCCATAGCAAACCATCGGCTTTCATTTAATTGAAATTCAGATCAATGTAAGATTGTACCTCTCAACTTTTCATGGGTTATTGCACTTTACACATCACCAATGCTCTTTGCTCTGCCATACAGAATGAGCCCCTTTGTGCACCCTGCCCCGGGGATGTTACCGTTTCCTTAGAGAATTGATAGGCTGCTCTATCATGCATTTTGGATCAGCTGGCAAAATGGTTGTCTCCCCTGTGTGCAGGTGGCTGGTGCGATGCAATCATAATGATGTATTTATTTTTCCATCTTCAGCATTAATGCACACCCTGTGTTTTTCAGCATCAGCGCTATTTCAGCAGGATTTAACAAACCTGCTATGCTGTTTTGCATATATTCCAGATTAAAGAAAGTGCAATTAAAGTACAAGTTCCTGATTTATTCCCATCACAAATCTGTATGCAGTATGTGTTGGATGCTGATAACACTGCACCCAGTATTGTTATGACTGTCCCAAATCCTGAATGGTACTCCAGCGAAAAGGTGGCTAGGAGGGTTGTAGGATACATCTAATCCAATTGGTACATTAAAGGAGAACTATGAGGTGACTGATTTCCACTCATCCTCATAGTTAGAGCCGACCTGTGACAAAGAAGCTGTCACAGGTCGGCTCTATTGATCGGGAAGTGAGCAGAAACATGCCGCCCATCGGCTCACTTCCCGATCGTCTCCCTGCAGTGAGCGTTGACTGTCAGTCACCGCTCCCTGCAGGGTTTCCCCCTCTCCGATCCTCCAGCGCTGGGTGGAGGAACGAATGGGGGAGGGGCCGGGCAAAGCTGGCTCTGCCTCTAGATAGGCAGAGCCAACTCACTCACGGTTTGTTGGGATCCGCCCCAGCTGCGGCACTCTCAGCCCACGATATACTGAGCTTTGGGTCACGGGAGGAGGTTAGTATATGTCCTCCCATGACCCTGAAGAGAACTAGGGGGAAAAAACACTTACCCCATAGTTCTCTTTTAAGGACTCATGCACACGGGTGTATTAAAATACTCCCATCTATGCTGGATCTTTGTGCAGAGAAGCAGGCAGAAAAATCTTGTGTCGAAAATGGGCATTGTGGTGTATAATTACACGTGTTTATGCATACTTAGAGGTGCTCAGGTGTATGTGCACAAAGTAATTCTATTGGCTAGAATATTTATTTAGTCTAGTCACTATAATGAACTCATGCAGTTCTGGGACATTTAATTTTCATGCCCCTGAATGCAGCTCTAAAAAACATGTCCACCCAATTGTTTTCGAGAGAGGGGGAAGGATTGGCACCCCTTTTAGGTTTTTACTGCTATCTGGGGTTCCAGAGATTTGGAGATTTTCCCTCATGTTCTTGTCTCAGTGACAACATTTTTACCACACAGGAAGTAAGGTTAAATCTGAAAGGGCCATTGGTAGCAATAAAAAGCTGGCAGGGATCCAGACTTCCCAATCTCTACAAAAAAGGGAGACATTTTTTTTTTCAGTGAGAGAAAATTCTAGCTATGGATGGCCTGCCGGCCGATAACCACTGAGCTTTCTCCAATGTCTGTGCCATCCTGAGATTTTGTAATTGCAATACATTAGTAAATTGATCCAGATGTGATCCAAAAATGTAATGTGTACAGGGTCATTTATAGTTATGGCTTTGAAAATAAGCAGCTGATCACAAGTGGTTGCTGTTGAGAACTTCAGGTGTTTTGGGGCATGGTAAATCCATTTGAAATGACTCTGTACACTAAAGCTGGACATACACTGTTACATTTTTTTTTTCGTTCAGCTTACGTGCTGAACAAAAACAAAACAAAAATAGAACAGGTTCCATTTACACAAATAAATATGGATGGGCAAATCTCCCACTGTGTCTTTTGTATTCTGGCAGTAGCTGGCATGCCACTGTCAGAATACCTGAACAGTGAGGGCAGCTGTATATTCTTACATTAGGTGTACCTGCCTGCTTAACAAAAGTCAATTACTGAATCAACTTATGTTGAAGGAGTTGGGCTGAAAATTTTCGGCCAAAGAGTGACTGCAACCATTCTGACAGCGGCCAGGGCCCTCTGTCACGATACAATGACCGCAGTGGGAGATTTGCCCATCGATGCTGGCTGAACTAAGATTATCTAGTAATGGCCAGATTTAGTCATCATGTGTGTGAAGTCTGGCTCTGGAAATCTGCTGCCTGGTATATCTGCCTGTGTTGTGTTCTGTTAAGCTGGCCATACATGGATCAAATTATGTTTCCTGCTGATTTGGCCTAAATACGATCCATCAACGGTCCTGCCAGCACCACCTAGCTTGACAAAAGTGGATAGTAAAATCGATTTGAGTGCAGCCAATCAGCTGCAGTCACCATTCAGGTATTCTGGCAGCAGTGGGTGCCGGATATCAGAATAACATAACCAGCAAGTGAGACTCCTCCATGTATGCTGTTCAGCATGGACAGGGGAATCAATTAGATTTTTCACATTCAGAAATTCAGGCGTGGCTTAAGATGTTTGGCCAGCTTAAAAGAGAACTATGGGGTAAGTGTTTTTCCCCATAGTTCTCTTAAGGGTCACGGGAGGACATATATTAACCTCCTACCGTGACCCAAAGCTCAGTATATCGTGGGCTACAGCTCGCGGTATACTGAGATCACCGCAGCCAGGACAGATCCCGACAATGCTGTTGAGATCCACCCAGCTGTGTGAATGACAGCTGGCTCTGCCTATCTGGAGGCAGAGCCAGCTGTGCCCGCCTCCTCCCCCATTCATTCCTCCAGTCGGCGCTGGAGGATCGGAGCGTGGAGGGGGGGAATCCCTGCAGGAAACCGTGACTGACAGTCACGGCTCCCTGCAGGGAGACGATCGGGAAGTGAGCCGATGGGCGGCATGTTTCTGCTCACTTCCCGATCAATAGAGCCGACCTGTGACAGTCTCATTGTCACAGGTCGGCTCTAACTATGAGGATGAGTGGAAATCAGTCACCTCATAGTTCTCCTTTATTGTACCAATTGGATTAGATGTATCCTACAACCCTCCCAGCCACCTTTTCTGCTGGAGTACCATTCAGGGTTTGGGACAGCCATAACAATACTGGGTGCAGTGTTTTATCAGCATCCAACACATACTGCATACAGATTTGTGATGGGAATAAAACACATCATATCTTTAGAAAGTTCTGGTTAGACCTAGCAAAAAATGTTCCTGCTAGAAGTTGGAAGCCTAGCCATAACTTATCATTAGAATATTCCTCCCTCCTGGTCTATAAAGCAGTTAGGACAGAGGCGTATACATGCAGGCATATTTGGTGTAGCCTTATTAATAGAAAATAAAAAAAATCTGGGTTTTGGCCATAGCAACCAAATTCCATCTTTTGCAAGTGATGCTGTGGCTCTTTTACCGCCACCCCTCCCCCCCCCCAATAAATCTTCAGTTGTCATTTTTTTCTGGTACGCGTGCTAAAATAAAAAATTATTACGTGGCCGATAGCTGTATGAGAAGAGGACAAGTTCAGCTAATCACATTGTTCTCCCTGATACTGATGGTCTGGGCCAAGGGTTTCTGGATTTGTCAGCTTTTACATATAGACATGCTACCCCATCCCACCAAAATCAGCTGGATTGACCTCCTGTCTATGGTTACCTTTATTTTTATTCTTGGTGCTGAGAATGGGTCATTATAAGCATCCAATAGTATATGGGGCTTTATGAGAAAAAAAAATACTCTGTTAGTTAATGACCTGCAAAGTGGGAATGATTGAATTAGCATACAACTTTTAATGAATGATGGAATTATTCTAGGTGTTCAATACCTTCCTTTTGCCAGTAAAGGGTGAATTAATAGTCTGCTGACTGAAGAGCAGTCTCACGGTAAGACGGTAAGACATTATTTTTCTGCAGGAGCTTGCAATCTAACCTTGCTGTTCTAATTTCTGTGTCCACAGCAGATTAAATGAAGCAGACTGCTGTGGCGGGGGGCGGGAGGCGCGCCTGGAGAGCGGACGTTCTGTGTTTGTGGAGGTTTTAACGGGATGTGAACTTTTGCTTTTCAGTCTCGAAAAGGGAGCGACCCAGACAAAGATAAGAAAGGTCTAGAGAGCAGAGCAGACAGCATCGGCAGCGGGCGAGCAATACCAATTAAACAGGTAAGCTTCTTCCCTGCCTCCGCCTCCCTCCGCCAGGCTCCAGTGTGTAATTAGAGGAGCCCACGCTCGGGGTCTCGTCTCCGAGCCCCCCGCTCTCTGCACTGCGTTTGATGCCCCCCTCCCTGAATGTGGAAGAGTTGCTCACTTGACATCAATTAGGCACGAATCCTGCGCACATTAAAATGGGATCATTAGGATAAAGAGGTGGTGTGAGAGGGGGAGGGGATCTGCCATGTGACAACAGGCCCTAATGAAGTGAGCTGTTCAGGGGGAGGCAGCCAGGCCCAGGCAGCTTCAAAGTGACGCCTTTGTGCAGAATGCTTTGATTGGGCCTCTCTGCGCCTGTCTGCCGGGGGATTGGAAGCCCCCCTCTGATAACCACGTACGGGCTTGATTTGGCTGGTAATCTGAGCCCCCCTCTGACGGCCGACGGGCAATTAGCCACACTGAACGTGTCAGCTGCAAGACCCTGTTTGTAATTTGCTAATGAAGTACTTGTACCTTTTGATTAGGTTCAGTTTCATTTAGGCCTCCATTACCCGAGTGAGCGTTTACAGCCCTAATGAACGGGCTTAATTAATCCTTTCTGGTGACGCTCAGGGAAAAGGGGGGTGAGGTAGAGTCAGCAGGAGTTGCGGCTTGGAAACGTTAGCCCATAAGAGGCCGTTAGTAGCCTAACGAGGAGGAAATGCTTTGGTGTGAATCCAGATTGCGCGCAAGAGCCTTATAACGAGGCTGGGAACACATACACAACTTGCGATTCCTGCCTCGGCAGACATCAGGGAGTCTTTGAGGGCTCTACAATAGTTTTGCTTTTGTATAGGTTTATACTGCTGTGTAGATGACCATTGAGTATCAAAACATGCCATACTTCCCAAAAGCTTTTCAAGTCAATAAGTTGGTAAGAGGCATTTTCTAATGCAAGGTATAATCTTACTGTCAAATATTAGCAGCTTGTTCATACAGAATCCTGCCATCTTGTTCCTGTCCTTTCTTATCTGAGTACGCTCTACTGAAAGATGAACATGGGTGCAAATAATGAGTTCACTGCCATGTTCTTTTCTGGAATCCCTATGTAAAGTGCCTGGCTAAATGAGCATGACGTTTACTCTTATGTGAATTGTTGGGGTGCAGCTCAATCCTTTCCATATATACAGCAATGATGAAAACCAGAACGGAGAAGTAGAAGGTGTTGCTCCTAGCAACCAGTTAAATTCATAGCATCTGTTGCCCAATGTAGATTGCAAATAAAAGCAGTTCCAGATAGCATTTTGTAAGTTCTTTGGTATGCCTTCAAGTGAGTGTTACTTTGTATTTGTTCATCTAAAAATATGTAGATATTTTAACACACACACACACACACACACACACTGTAATGTGAGGGCAATATTAATATTTGAGTCCCATTCCTCTCCCATATTGCGCTACTCTTGGCTGTGGAGAGCCGTACATAGAGAACAGTTGATTGCAGTGGGAGGCAGAGGCTCCTCTGGTGACATTTGCATAAATCTTGTTAAGTCAGAGGCAGTTAATGAGGTACAAATGAGGCAAGGAAGGTGACATACAAATCATGCTGGCAGATGCGAGGTGGCTTCAGGGGTATCAGCTGCCAGGGTGTACATGTCTGTGTCCACTCATCTCCTCAGATGCCCTGTCGTACTGTGGACAACTTGCTGGCTTGCATACTTTTCCCAGGTGCACTTGATCACAAAGCTTGCAATCCACATACTGTGTATTCATGACAGTCAGTACCAGTTCTTCCACATCATCACTGCATTGCAGTGTTTTGGCACCAAGTGGTTCTGTTCTGCAGTGTAGAGCCTAAATAATACCATGCATTGTCATCTGCTGGGCTTACAGCTGTTACTGCGTTCTGCCAACATGGCAGTATACTTCTAATCTATGCAGCGGTTGGATGCCTACATGTGTTGCAAACTGCAATCATATGTTACATTGTTATCCAGTGGTATGGGGAACTTATAAATCTATACAAGAGAATTTGTTGCGAGTTGAATTATGATTGCTGAGTGATTCTACTTTGTGACAGCTCCACTTTAAACCTGTGATACAGGACCCTGCACAGACCTCCACGCCCTGCCTGCTGTCACAGGAGATAGATCAGATCTCTGGACAGAAGTTTGTATGTCTCTTTCCAGCGCCTCGCGCCAGAGCCTCTGGGACAAATCTTTATTAAATGGGGCCCATAAACAGTTTCCCATTAGGAGCGGAATTGTATCACTTTGCCGCATATAATTTGGTCACCCAGCGTTGGTTGAGTCACAGAGACTCATTACGAGTCCTTGTGGATGGGACTGAAAGCTGCTAACGATTGTACCAGTATAATTAAATCTTTCCAAGCACTCGGCAGCAGTGTCAACGAACTGTGAAGAAAATAATGTTATATAGCCAATCAAAAAGAGATACTTGTAAACTCATTTGAAGCGTCAGTGTGTGTTAGAGCCCTCTCTCTGGATGATGCTTATTGCTTGAGAAATTAAAGATACAGTTTTGTGCTAAGAGGCAATCCGGAAATTACATCCTGAATTAGTTGTTAATTGATTTGGTAATTCCCTGGGGTCTGCACACTCTCTCTCACTTCATTTTTTCCCTTTTTGTTGCTTTTCGTTAAGTGTCTGTTCTCCCAGCTCCACAATCATGTTTACCAATTAGATGTAATGATAGGAACAATGTGGGGATGTGAGCTGGATGCAATGTGTGTTTGTGTGTGTGGGAGCTGGATGTGTGTGTGCTTTCTTGTGCGTTCCTTCACGGCTTGTTTTGTATAGTGGGTGCTGGATGCTTTGTTTGCATAAGCCTAATATTTTAATGAACATTTGTGCTTATTTAATCAAATCGTGCAAGTCACAGCGATGGGCAGTAACCCATCATAACTAACCAGATTTTACCTTTTTTTTTTTTTTTTACAGCAGTAGGTTCAAATAAAGAGGAGTTTTTGTCATCTTTCTATGTTGTTTTGTCATCTTTCTATGTTGTTTTGTATTTTCAAAGGGTCAGTCTACCCAAAATTGATACTTAAGTTTCTGAAAAATGCTGGAGAGTTAGAGCACCTATTGCATTTTGCTTCGTGGCCAAGGAATATAAGAAACCAGCATGTGACCCATACCAGGAGAATACCAACAGCAAATGAAATGTCACTTTTGAGTAGACTTTACCCTTTAAATAACCTTGGTTGTGGAGGGCAGTTGACTAACCCTTGCCCCTGAGATCTTAGTGCATCCCTTCCCATGAACTGACTCTTTAATAAGACAAAAAAATAGATAACCACAGCATCTGTGAAGATCCCCTCTTTCTTTTAATTCACCATGCATCAAAAAACTTTGCAACTGTAACCTTTCACAATGTTTCCTTCTTGCAGCTCCCTTCAGAGAGCTTTTCTGGGATACTTAATGGCTCAATTCTTTGGACATCTCCTGTCCCTTAGAGCTCCCCCTAGTGGTAGTGGCAATGGCTTATTCAGTAGTACATCAGAATGTAAACAAGCTTAACTAAGCCTGCACAGTAAAATGCAAAGCGAACTGTGAAGAGAACGTGGTCAGAGTTTTATCTGAGTGATGTCAGTGAAAACGTTAAGAATAATTGGAGAAAATGTATCTTTTACATTTGTTTTCAGTATTTTGCTGAAATAAAAATATATGCTGTACATTCAAATCTGAACCAATGGTTAAAACATTTTATTAGCAGGTAATTCTACACACCACAAAATGGCAAATTATGCTTTGGTGACTAAGGTATGAAATAGTCCGGATCATGTAGGGGTTAAATGTACTTAGGTCAGAACTTCTCATGCAGCTCCTCAACTATCATGTCGCTACTGTTGTGTTTCCATCTTTCTACCTGATAGTGGGCATACGTTGGACCATATTTGCAGCATGTGGGTAGGAGAACCTTATAATAGCTAAATAATGACATAATTTAATGAGGACAATGCGACATAAGGGTCGTTACCAAGTAGAATTAAGAGTTGTCTAAGTAACATGATGCGAGTGGGAGGTTTCAGACATGGAGATTGTGCACCAGCAGCTTGTTACTGGAAACACTATATTGGTCATTTATAAAATTTGTGTAGTCATTATAGATAATGATGGAAATGTGGGTAATCAATGGCTCTGTCCTTTTGTTTCTTCAGCCTACATTTCTGGTTGCATCCTATATAAAGCTAGGCCAATTTTGCTATACGGTAAGAGCTTAAATGGTGCTACAGGCCAGAGGACTCTTTATCTGCAATCGTTTCCAAGTACAAACGTTAAAAACGTATCATTCTAAACTATTTGTTCAGTTTGGTTGTTAAACCAAAACTCACATTTCAGCCTTTGGACAGCCAGATATCTTAAGGCTGGGTTCACACCTAGGCGTATCTTGGCTGTATCCCAATGGAAACGCGTGACAAAAACGCCCCAAAGAAGCTCCTGTACTTCTTTGGGCGTAGGGCGTTTTGTAGCGCGTTCATACGGCCTGTAATACGTCCAGGTGTGAACCATACCCTTAGGAAATAATGGGATTTCGGTGTTTGAGTGTTTTGCAGAGAGTTCGAACGTGCTACAAAACGCCCAGGTGTGAACCAGGCCTAACAGTTTTAGACCTCTCAGGGTGGTGAGATCTCTGCACTGCAGTTCTCAAGTTTTCACTCCTGCTGCTGCACTCTTCCCGTTGGATTTTTAATTTACTTTATATTCTGGAAAATGTAGTATAGGGGGGATAACCCGACTCTCTAAGGTAGATAGGAACAGCCAGATAAATCAAACTACAGCAGGTAAATTACACCTTGGCGTCCTCACAAGATATTAGAAGTTAGCATATGGCTCACTCCAATTGGTGATATGTTAGGCTTGTCAGCCATAGTGATATGTCAGCCATAGTGATATGTCAGGCATAGTGATATGTCAGCCATAGTGATATGTCAGCCATAGATTCCTTTGTTTTCAAGTTTCTAAATTGCAAAATGTATGGCCACCGATAGGCTGACCTTACCACCTAGCCCA